GCTGGCCTAGCCACAAGGCTTTATTTTGGGAAGAGCCCCGAGGGAGGAATGTGGTCTCTTGGGCAGCTGGTGTGTGTATTTTCTGGCTCCCTGGGAAGAGCCTTGCCCGGTTCCAGCCCCGCACAAAGCAAACAAGCGCAGGAAGCCGGGTTCCTTGCCACCGTTTCACCTGCTACCCCAGAAAGCTGAGGCCCACTCAGCAGATACTTCCCTAGGCCCCAGAGATACAGGGGAGTTGGCTGGGAAGCTGCTCCTAATTTCTTGTTGAAAAGTTGCCCCAGACAAGGAGGTGTGGCAGCCCTGCAGATTCCACTAGCTTACTGAGCAGAAGCCCGCGAGCCCTCAGGCTAAGTGAGGAGCATTCCCAGGGGGTGAAGCAGTTAACAAAATTCTGTCACATCATTCTGTTGTCCCACATTCTCTGCAGCAACATCCCTGCAGGGGACTGAAGGAGCCAGATAGGAACCTCTCGGCTGACCGCAGGGACTCAGCCGGCCTTGGGAAAGGTCACGGCTTCTTTGAAGGGCAACTGTAAAGTAATCCGGACAGATTGTGAACCCAGGCCTCGCCAGGTAGGGCTGCTTGTCTGAAGATAATCTTGCTTTGTAGGTCAGAAAAAAAAAAAAAAAAAAAGAGTGCAGGCAGGCTTGCATTAGCCGCACACGGTACTGAAGAGCTGTTTTTAGAAGGAAGGTTTTGGCAGCCCCTCTCCCTCCTCGTTTGCATTCAGAGGAAACGTGCGTGCCCCATTTCCCGTAACAGGCAGCCCGGCCAACAGCACCTCGAGGGAGGAAGCTCTCTTCCCAGTGTCTGCAGGTTTATCCCGAAACGCTGCAGGAACAGCAGTGCCAGGGCAAAGGGCGCAGGACGCAGTCTTTAAAAACTCCTGAGTAGGCTGCGTCTCGTCATCATGACCCAACAAGGCCAGCAGCAGACAGCCATCCAGGGCTCCACAGCAACCACAGGACCAGCCACAGGCTCCGCCCGGCAGGTGGTAATGAACCCTCCCCATTCCACTCTCCCGTCCCGCTTACGGAGTCAGTGCACACAACCCAGTGCTGTCTGACCTTTGCAGCCTGTCGCTTACAGTCCCTGTTCTCAGAGACTGAGAACCAAGGCTCAGGGGACCCACGACTCGCCCAATGTCAACCTCGTCACAGAAACCTGCAGCTCAGCCCGTCTGTGGGCTTCTGGTCCCAGGCTGCTGTCCTTTCACATGGACACACTGTGCACACCCCGCTTCTCACCTGCTGTGTGGGCAGGAGGAAGAGAACTGGAGGCACACCACGGTACACTGCCCTCTTGGGCAGCTCACTGGGAAGCCTTTCTTATTAGATTGATCCCTGGCTGCCCTGTTAAAAACGGAGCTGGCAAAAACAAAGAATGGAAACTAGGTAACGAGCTCGAAGCCAAAGGAATGGATGTGCTGCACCAGATTTTCCACTGGTGAAAGATCGCCTGACTTCCCAAAAACTCTTCACTGCAGAATGCCCACCCAGTTACTGAGAACACAGGATTAACTTACTGTGTGCGGGAGCGGGCTCCCCGGCAGTCGCTGTGCTGGGACGGTAAGGTAGACACGGGAAAGTCACAAGTCACAGAATCATGCAGAGCGTGAGAAAGGTTCCAACGCAGAAGCCCGGCACATTACACACGTTAACAGAGTGGTTCCCCCGCAGTGGGCAGCCGGGCCCTGACCCTGACCCCTGACCCCTGCATCAGCAGCCACACCGCTCCTGTGTGTCTGCGCTGCTCCCTTACGCTGTCAGAGAGGGGACATCTTCCCCGGGGGAGAAGGGCAGAGGCTGGGGGTGGGGGGAGCCCGGGGCTGCTGGGCTTGCTAATTCTTTCCTACAGTCCGCTCTGTTTTCTGTCAGGGGTACGGAAACACTGCAGCAGCAAATGACATCCAGTAACGCTTTAATTAACTGCGGTATTTTGTGCCCCGGTATGCACCAGGAAATCACTTCCAGATGGGCAAAATCAGAGATATTTACCCAGAAAAGCAATCCTTTTATTCAAGAAATTTATGTCTCCCAGAAGCGCAGAACTCTGCGGGTCCAAGAGGCTATCTAGCTTGACAGAGACTAGAACGCGCCTGGAAATTTCTATTTAATATGTGAAATGCCCCGGGACTCGTTACCTTCGACAACTTTGCAGGAGTCCGCCGTTTCCAGGGCTACTGCTTACATGGCCCCGCGTGGCTCTGACGGTTTTATTTTTAGGAATCTGCCTTGGAGTAGACAAGAAGTGTGAAGCGTTTGCCTTCACCCTCAAGCAGCCTGGCTATTTTGAGAACTCTCTTCCTAGGGAGAGGAAGCACATTTCCAGCTGTGCACTCCTGGCACCCCCGGAGCGTTCCGTAAACAGGCAACTAGGTTTCCCTGTCCGGCGGCAACTCAGGATGGGCCGGGGCGACACCCGGCAGCCCTCACTCCTGTTCCCTCGCACACAGGAGGCCCCGGGCGTGAGAGGCAGGCAGTTTTCGGGTGCTGCTTTGTTCTGTGAGAGAGAGGAGGGCTGATAGTCACCCTCGTCCCCAGGATGAAATCTGGGAGTGAAAACACACCGTCGGCGGTGGCTCCTGTCTCCCAGGCACAGTCTGGCAGGCACCTGGAAGCCTGTCCACAGTAACGAGGAGCAGACTCACCGATTATAGATGATCAGTACTTATTTTAACCAAAAAGTGACTTGGAAGTTGTTTCTATTCACCGATTCTTACTGCGGCTGACGTGAGGGCAAGGCACGGGCGCAGTGTCAGGCCGGCTGAACCACAGAGCTGCCTGCTTTGCCGAGGGGTGCTTCTTTATACACTTTACTTGGAAGGGACAAGGACAGCCACAGCTCTGTGAGTCCCGCTCACTAAAACAGAGTCTCCCGATCATCCTGGGGACAGCCTGCTTCCTGGTGTGCAGTCCCTGCCTGCTGTCGACGCACGCTTAAAACTTAGCGCAGAGACTCTGCACCGTGTTGGTACCAGCTCCACTGTACAGCAGTTACACTTGCTCAGAGGACCAGAAAAGCATACACTTACGAGAATGTGCTGTGGGAGCCCTTCCAGAAAGCAAATTTCTCTCATTGCAATGGTTCTTAACAAGGAGTAAACAGTATAATCACCTTTGGAACTTCTGAAACTATGCGCTGGTTCCCGGTGCAGCTTTACCGACTCAGAATCTCCGGGCATGTTTTTAAGCAGGGCTCCAGGTGGCTCTGACGCATCCCTCCCATGGAGAAACACGCTCTGCCTTCGCGGGGTGCATGCACGGTGTTCAGTCGCCATCAACGAGACATTTAACATAACTCCTACTGACATCGCTTGGCTCCTTGGGGATCACTGACAGCGTAATAAATCAGGCAAGCAACTTCCCTGGCTGTGACCACCAGCTGGGGAAACGGCAGCCTGACATCTCAATGCTGCTATGGAGATGTCCAGAAAAGACGCCTCCTCGACAAAGAGCCTGAAGAACCGCGGGGCCGTACACACTGCGAGTGGCCGGAGCCAGGTGCAGGCACGCCCTGGCTCTCCCAGCTCCCCAGGCCAGGCACGGGCAGCCGACCTGGCCGCGGTGTTTGGAGGTGGGCCCACCACCCCTCCTTTCCAATTAGTGCAGGCCATACAGCCTCAGGGGGGCAACCTGGCAGCAAAGTGGAATCTGCCCGCCGAGCTGCCTGCTGCAGAATCTCTTCCCCATCGAGTTCAACTAAGGGCCAGGCCTCTTTCTTTTGCCATTTTTTGTCTTCCCAGGGTTCTTGAACTTGAGATCCTCAATACACTGACCTTCAAGGACAGGCTGGAAGCTGATGACAAAATGAGGCCTGGGACGGGAGCTGGGACGGGCAGATGGAGTTGATGAGACGGGCAGGGGAGCAGCGCAGGGGCACACACTGGCAAAGCAAGATCAGGGCCAAATACTCGCCTTCAAACCTCGCTTCCCACAGTATGGCTGCCACAGGTTTTGTAGGTTCCAGAACACTTCCTCTGTCCTGAACACTGACCTGTGTGCGGCTGATGGTACCTCATTCCATCCTCAAGCCTCCTGACAGAGCCCGTCTCCTCCATGCTCTCCCAGTGAGCTGAGGCGTGCTGGTCAACCAGGTGACGGCTGCCCCTCTCTGGACCAGGGTGCTGGGAGGGGCTGACCCAGTGGGGGCAATTCTCTTGGGCAAAGCTCTGCCGCCGAGAGCCCGGGGAGGGCAGGCTGCACTGTGGGTCGTGTGAGGTTCTCTTCCTAGGACCCAGGCTCTTCCTTGCTAGCCACGCGGCAACACGGCACTCGGCTCAGCCCGTCAAGTCTGCTGTTTCCGATGACTCTGAACCAGGTGTGTGTGTGCGGGAGGGGGCTGGTGGGTATGGGTGTCCTGGGCTTTTCCATAGCTTCATCTGAGGAGAAAGCCTAGAAGACATGTCCCAAGAGAATGCTGGCCCCTGTACCAAGGCAACCCCTTCTACAGAAATCAGAGTGGGGATGAAGAGACAGAACAATCTGCTCACATACCCCGCTGAGTGCCAAGTAGAACCCTCTCTCCAAGTCAGATCTGGGTCTGTCCCCTCCCCAGCTCAGGGGCCCGACAGCCCAGGTGGGGCACAGGCAGCCTCCAGGGTGGCAGACAGGCGCCCTCTCCGTGGGTGACCGCTACGAAGAGGAGAGAAGCAGGCTAAGCCGGGAAGAAGACCAAAAGCAACATCTGTCCCAGGAAGCTCCCTCGGAAGAGTACCGTGCTGCTCCCTCTATCACTCGTGAACTCGGGCCCCAGAGCCACAGCCGAGTGGGAGGAAAGTGCCCGGTGCCCTGGCTAAGGGGTGACCTCCCCCAGTGGCATTGGGAAGGGATGAGAGCCAGGCTTCCCACCTGTCGCCTGCATGGGTGTATGGTGGAAAGCAGGGCCCACACGTTGGAAGGCAGGGCAGGGCTGCCAGGGTGAGGCCGCGGGAGCCAGTAACGGCCCAACTGGTCGAGAGCAATCCCAACAGCAACTGCTTCTGCTTTAGGCATCATGGATCATCTCAATTGCCTTTTTATAACCCGGCTCTTACTCACAGGAATCAAGACAGGGCATGGGGCAAACATGTCAACAGCCCCCGAAGTTTCACGACAGGTGATCTGAGGGTTACGGGAACACAGGAGCGGATGGGGCTTCGGGTAACCAGGTGCTGAGGGATGCTGGCCAGGAAAGAGAAGGCGCCCCTGTGTGCTCCTACAGTCTCTTTTTAATGAGTTTCTCGAGTTTGCGGATTCGCGAGGACTCCTGTTCCGGGGTTGGAGCCATCAGGGACAGAGAGCTGGAGCCTTCTGGCCCTGAGGGCGGGGCGGGGAGCCGCTGGCGGAAGAGTTCCAGCATGCTGCTCTGCTCACTTCGCTTCAGCCCCTGGGTGCAGAGAGAAAGCAGAGCCGTCACGCTGAGGCCATGCAAGCAGCACAATGACTGCAGGCTGGGGATGCACCCGCTCGTCAGGCGACTGCCAGCCCTGGCCAGAGAAAATCAGAGGGAGGAAGGGTGATGGGAGCCAAGGGGGGTGGGGGACAGGTGAGAAGGACGGGGAAGGCACTGTTCCCGCCCTCACTCTACTCCAGCCCAGCCTCCTCCCAGCGAGGCATGGAGGTCGGCTCCGAAGCCTCAAGTTCATACACCCAGGCCCCTCCTCTCCAAAGGCTTCTTCCCATCTGCCCAGCAGTGTGGTGCCGGGCACACGGGCCAGCAGCCTACCTCCGCCCCAGTGAGAACCACCGAGTGTGAGAGGGACAAGCAGGTCTGACAGAATGAGACACTGTGCTCACCTTCATGTCCAGTATCTTCTGGAAGGTTTCTGTGTTGCAGTCTGTCAGGAGTTTGATGTAGTTGTCGACAAACACCACCAGTGGTTCATGAGGGGCCATCACTACCTACAGGGGCAGGAGACAAGCTTAGGCCCTGAAAGAGCACTCGCGGCTGGGGGCAGGGGTCATCTCCCTTAACTCGTCAGCTGAGCACAAAACGATTCCGTCAGGTTTCGGGAAGCGGCGGTAACCCCGTTAATCAGAGTGCTGTTTCTTGGGGTTGCTGTGTAATCATGGGATTTGCCTGTTACAGCACAGAAGGTTCCGACGCCGTAGGCCTGGGTGGGCTCCAGGGCCGGGAGGACTTGGGAAGCACTGTGTGGAGGGTCTGCTGTCTGAGGCACTGCGTGCACACAGGGTACCAAGGAAGTGGATCTTCTCAGAAACAGAAATTTCAGAGCTGTCTCCCCCTTCTGTGTGCCTAGAATCTAGAAGTTCACTCACCTACCTTCATTAAAGCCATCGACAGACAGATGGGAGGAAAGGAGGCACTGAACGCCTCGCATTCACTGCCATCGGGCTTCGGGACGCGGACGGACGTGATTTTCTCCCTGCAGCAAGCTGACTTTTGTTTGGAATCCCTGAGAGTGCACCAGAGAGGGGGCAGGAAGAGCTCCCTCAGCACAGCCTGCAGACAACTCCTAAACTGTACGCTCTTCTCCCCAGCGGGGGAAGAAAATGATGAGCTGCTTCTGATGTCCGCACTTGGCTCCACAGCTGTCTGGGGCCTGCGGCTGCCTTTTCCCCTGCCATCATTTGAGTTACTGTTTGGGAAGGAGGACTGACGAGCCTGCAGGCCCTGAGCCTCCAAGACCACGACTCGACAGTACCGCTGTTCTCTGCCCTCGCCCTTCTCAGAGCACAGGTGAAAATCAGATGCAGATGCCTGAGGCTTCAGACAGGCTCAACACCATCACCTGTGACACAATATTTTGTTAAATGAGGCTTTAAAAAACCCATTTGCTCGTTAGATTCATTTAGTACAACATCTGTTCAGGTTCGTTTAATGCTGCAAAGCACAGACGGCCAAGAGGCTGATGTGGAAGGGCGTCACGGACAGCCGGGCCTGGAGTCCCTGCTGAGAAGTAAGGCTCCCTGCCTTGCGCAGTGATTCACAGCCACAACACCACCGACTTCCAGTTTTGGCCAAATCTAATTACAAGAGATTCCCTTGACAACAAAGAATTTATTTGTCAGAAAGACAAAGTAACCGTCCACTGACTTTCAACAGTATGATGAGGCCAACATTTAGTTCAGCCAAAGGATCTGGACAGCCCTTTGGGACTGCTGGGGATGGGCCGTACTCTGGGCTTTCAAAACCAAAACTAGAAGGGAAAAGCAATCCAATGACTTCCAGCGGATCCCAGAGGCAGCCACGAGCCATCACCTTGAGGATCATCTCGGCCCGCGTCATGCCCTTCACGACAATCTTGGTGTAGCTGGCGGGGGCCTTCCTCACCACCTGCGAGCCGATGGACGGGAGGTCGAGCAGGACCATCTTCAGGGAGTGGGTGTCCAGTAGCAGCTGCGGAGTGAAGTATAGAATTAGGAGCCCCTTCACCGGGACACGACACCCAAGCACCCACGCCGGCTACTAACATTTTCCTTGTGATGCGTGTAATATGTTCTCTTTGCAGACAATTCAGAAAATACACAGAAACATAAAAGAAAAAATTATCATTCCCACTACCCAGGCAAAACAATATCAAGAGGCCATGGTGAAATGTGGTGTTAAAAACACTAGAAGTATACCATATGCATACACAGTTTTATATCTTAGTTTTCATACTTAATAGATGAAGTTTGTATTCCATTTTCCCATCATGGAAGTTTGGAAAAACACATGATTTTCTTTTAAAGATTTATTTATTTATTCAAAAGTCAGAGTCACAGAGAGACAGAGAAAATCTTTCATCCACTGGTTCACTCCCCAGATGGCCGCAATGGCTGGGGCTGATCCAGGCTGAAGTCGGGAGCCAGAACCCCTTCTGAACTCTGACATGCACGCAGGGGCCCAGGCACTTGGGCCATCCTCCGCTGCCTTCCCCAGTGCATTAGCAGGGAGATGGATCAGAAGCAGAACAACTAGGACACAAACCGGCACTTATATGGGATGCTGGCATTGCAGGTAGCAGCTTTACCCACAATGCAAGCCCCCAAAACCATGATTTTTTTTTTTTTTTTTGACAGGCAGAGTTAGACAGTGAGAGAGAGAGAGAGAGAGAGAGAGAGAGAGAGAGAGAAAGGTCTTCCTTTTCCATTGGTTCACCCCCCAAATGGCCACTATGGCAGGCGCGCTGTACCGATCCGAAGCCAGGAGCCAGGTACTTCCTCCTGATCTCCCATGCAGGTGCAGGGCCCAGGCACTTGGGCTATCCTCATTGCCTTCCCCGGCCACAGCAGAGAGCTGGACTGGAAGAGGAGCAACCCAGACAAAATCCGGCACCCCAACTGGGACTAGAACCCAGTGCGCCAGCGCCGCAGGCAGAGGATTAGCCAAGTGAGCCGCAGCGCCAGCCCAAAACCATGATTTTTAATAGCTATAAAGTACAACTATGGGTTGTCTGTGCAAAACTTCAGGATATTAAACTATTCTATTTAATTTGCTTCTTTAATTTTTCTTAAGATTTATTTATTTGAAGGTTGAGTTACAGAGAGGCAGAGGAACAGAAAGAGAGAGAGAGAGAGAGAAAGAGAAAGGGAGAGAGAGGTCTTCTATCTGCTGTTTCATTCCCCAGATGGTTGCAACAGCCAGAACTGCACCAATCCAAAGCTAGGAGCCAGGAGCTTGGATCTTCTTCCAGGTCACCCACGTGGGTGCAGGGGCCCAAGGATTTGGGCCATCTTCTACGGCTTTCCCAGGCCACAGCAGAGCACTGGATCGGAAGTAGAGCAGCCGGGACTTGGACCAGCGCCCATATGGGATGCCGGCACTGCAGGCAGTGGCTTTACCCGCTACGCCATGGCGCTGGCCCCACTTCTTTAATTTTAATATTAATAATAAATGGTCTGGTGAACAGCCTTGTACATATATTCTAGGTCTGTTAATAGTATTTCTTAGCAGAGTCTTCAGGACAGCTTAAAACATAAGGACATTTCTAAGGTTTTTGGTACATATCTTGAACTGCTTTCCAAGTGGAATGTACCTATTACTCAGCCAGCAGTGCAGACTGCACCCTTACTGGCACTGAAATCTGTCCTAAAATGCCTGCCTACTCATTAGAAAAAACTGCCAATTCATTATTGCTGTTATTTTAATGCCTTCATAAGGCCCTGCCTTGCAGGTACTTAATAGTTCCCGTTTGGCCGGCGCCGCGGCTCACTAGGCTAATCCTCCGCCTAGTGGCGCCGGCACACCGGGTTCTAGTCCAGGTCGGGGCGCCAGATTCTGTCCCGGTTGCCCCTCTTCCAGGCCAGCTCTCTGCTGTGGCCAGGGAGTGCAGTGGAGGATGGCCCAGGTGCTTGGGCCCTGCACCCCATGGGAGACCAGGAGAAGCACCTGGCTCCTGCCATCGGATCAGCGCAGTGCGCCGGCCGCAGCGCGCTGGCCGCGGCGGACATTGGAGGGTGAACCAACGGCAAAAGGAAGACCTTTCTCTCTGTCTCTCTCTCTCACTGTCCACTCTGATGCCCCCCCCCCCCCAAAAAAAATAGTTCCTGTTTAACTGCTTGCTAAACTTACCTCAGTTGATGGCCGGGTTATAGGGTGGGGTGGAGGTGGATGGGCGCTGTATTTGCCTTTCCCCCCGCCCCCAGGCAGTTTGGACCCACAGCTCAGACTGCTTCCTGCTATTCCCCCTGCTGTGACCAGGTGGCAAAGAAACAGCTGACCCAAGAAGGGTATACTTGTGTCTGCTGGTCAGTTTAGGAGACCTGGTTGCTCCACTTCTGATCCAGCTTTCTGCTATGGCCCAAGAAAGCAATGGATGATGGCCCAAGTCCTTAGGCCTCTGTACCCTTGTGGGAGGCCCAAAGGAAGCTCCTGGCTCCTGGCTCCTGGCTCCTGGCTTCGGATGGGTCCAGCTCCAGCCATTGCGGCCATCTAGGAAAACGGAAGACCTCTAGCGGATGGAAGACCTCTCTCTCTGCCTCTTTGTAACACTGCCTTTCATATAAATAAATACGTATTTAAAAAAAAAAAAGACACTTAAAGACTGCAAACAACCTGAATGGCCATAAATGGCAGAATGAACAATAAATGGTGTTGTTCATGTGAGGGCTATGATCCTGCATAAAATGAAAGGATGCAAGAGATATGTCTCACCATGGATTAGTCTCAAAAATCATTCAGTTGAGTAAAAACAGCAAGTGGGGGAACGGACATGTATAGCACCATTTATATAAAGTTTAAAAACCTGCAGAACAAAATCATATACCATGTGTATTCAATATATATGCACATATCAAAACATATGTGGGGATGATAAAAATAAAGACCAGAATAATGTTTACCTTTGAGTACAGAGGGAGAGGGAGAGGGAGGGCAGGGTAGGGTCCCCAGGGGGCTTCAGCAATAACTATAATTACTTACTTTACATAAGAAAGTTACAAAGTGAAAGTGGGAACATGTTGGATTTTTTACTGAGTGGTAAGCTGATGTTCTTGACATTATCCTCTATACTTCTAATAAATGGAAAAAAATTTTTAAGGTATGCTGTTTGAGGTCTGGCAAGAATTCAACTTTGTCTTCCATGTAGCAAATTCTGAGAGCTTTGTCAAAATTCAAAGCTGTGCCTTGGCATTTATTTATGGGTAGAAAATAACCCCCCATGATTATACTTTAAAACATATGAGGATACTTCCTATTTCTCTACACCCCCTAGTTCCCAGAGATATGCTATACGCATAAATAATTGCACAGTCTCAAGTGACAGGAAGAGGTCGGAATGAACCAGACATAATTCTCCAGCGTCCCCGTATCTAGGGAGATCTGACACGTTCGCTTGCAGGCCAGTCTCAGTGAAACTCTGTCTTTACCGCACAGTGGAAGAGCTGGAAACCGTGGCCTCGCTGCTTTCACATAGAGCAACACAGTCAGAAAAGGCGGGAATCAGTTGAACAGATCTAGCAGCTGTGGGAAGTGACGATGAATGGCTCCATTTAGCATGAAAACCCGCTGGTTCTCAACCTTGAAAGTAGCTAATAATTCATCTTTTAGGCATGAGACTTTGGGCCAGAGTTGGTCACTGCCGAATCTGCACTGCAGAGAGAATTCTGGGACTGATGTGAGCTGACTGATGCTGCAGGGTGCAAGGCAACAAGAACCTTTGGAGAGGACCCTGTGCTTCCTAACGAGTGTCCTACAGTTCCTGGAGGGGTGAAAATCTTGAGTGCATAAGACAAAGGCACACTCCTAGAAGGCAAAGGACCTGATGTGCACTGCCAAGTTCTGCCATGAGGAGCACAGAGGGGACATTCAAGGTCTCAAGGACGGAGAGACCCGGCTGGGGATGTCCTCTGTTTTTCTTTTTCTCCACTTTAGGAATAGCTCCCACACAGCACAGTACACACAGAGCCAGCAGACCGCTCCACGACCTTCTGCATGCATACACAGCCTATTGCTTACTTGAAGAAACAGGATATCGCTGGCATCACTGAAGGCTCCCTCGTGCTCTCTTCCAGCCAACGCTCTCCTTTCCTTCCCACAAAGTAAGCCCTCTTCTGGCCTCCATCACTCTACATCGGCTTACTGCTCATAACCCTGCTGTGGTTATTATTTTTAAAAAAGATTTATTTATTTGCAAGGTAGAGTTTAGAGAGAGAGAGGGAGACAGAGACAGAGACAGAGAAGGAAATCTTCCATCTGCTGGTTCACTCCTCAACAGCCAGGGTGGGCCGGACTGAAGCCAGGAGCTTCTTCTCTGTCTCCCGGGTGAGTGCAGGGGCCCAAGCACTTGGGCCATCCTCCACTGCTTTCCCAGGCTATTAGCAGAGAGCTGGACTGGAAGTGGGGCAGCCGGGACTTGAACCAGTGCCTGTACGGGAAGCTGGTACTGCAGGCAGTGGCTTAAGCTGCTGTTCCACAGTGCTGGCCCCTGGTATGTGGCTTTTGGTGGTCATGAGGCCTCACCTCTAAGGTAGCGGCTGGTCAAGAGTAGAACTGCTAGATCCAAGGGGCAGCACATGCTTAGCTGTAGTAGAGGCTGCCAAACAACCTCCCAACGTGCCAGTGTGTCAACTTCCATTCCTCCCAGCATGTACGGTGGTTCCAGTTGCTCCGTATGCTCACCAACACTTGATTTGTCAGTCAGTCAAATTTTAGCCATTCTGAGATCATTGTGACTTTAATTTACATTTTTCCTGATGACTAACAAGCTATTGGATTTTTGGATATCCTTTCCCTGAAATACCTATTCAACTCTTTTGTCATGTTTCTGTTGGCGACTCACCTTTTTCTAATTGATTTGTTAGAGGTTTTTAAAAATATGGCTTTTGAATACGAACACTTAGTTATATGTACTGCAAATATCACCTACTCTGTGACTGTGACTTTTTTTTTTAAATAAGATTTATTCTATTTATTTG